TTCAGGAAGGCAAAGAATTATGTGTTTGAAATGTATGTTTTTGTGCCGGACATCCCTTAAAGTTAGTGAATATCAAAAGTGCTGCTTCCAGCATTTAAGCTATCTCATATTTTGACTTTGTGCAACATACGTCCATGTTTTTGTTTTGTCTGTACATTGCTGGAATGTATTACCTTTCTTCCCCTAGGCCTGAATAATAAATTAATGAAGTGTCTATCTGACATGTAACAATCAGCTTGGGCTGACACAATCAAGACTTTGTGTGAGGTCTCTAGCATGATTAGAATGTTTTTTTGGGTCATGATGAAGGGAAGCAAAGAGCAGAAGGCATGAAACTAGCAATCAAAACAAACAAACAAGACTGGAAATGTACTTTTGACCATTCTTAAGCTTAAATTCCCATCTGTTTCTGAGCAACAAGTGACTTTGCAAGAAAAGATAGACTTGCCAGTTGTTGTTATCATCAAGGCTTTAAAATCATAGATGGGTAAGTAGAACACTTCAGTGATTAATTCAAAGAAACAGAGTTCAAGGCAGACCTGAAAGCTTTAAAGCCTGTTTACAGCAACAGCAGGAAATTTTGAAAAAGCTTAAGTAGTTGCCTAGCTTGTTTTGAAGAAGTTGCTACCAAAACTGTTTTTCAAGAAAGCCAAACATTTAAACTGGAAAAACACCTTAGCTATTACAGATTCATTAATTGATAGGTTATTAAAAAATGATACTTCTTTTGTTTCCTTTACAAAACTGCAGGATGTGAAGGCCAAGGAACCAGTAAATATGAGAAGCTTGCCTCTTCATTAAAATGACTGTCTAAAAGCAGATCTTATTGCTGAATATTGTGATTTTTACTATTGCATCTCAGAAAAAAACCCAAACCTCTGTGAATAACAAGCTTTTATTCCAGACAAGCAGTTACAAACTGCATTACATCTTCCTTAGCATTGAAATGTCTTAATGAATTTCCTTGTAAATAAGAGTAATAAATAGAACAGCAAATGGAATAGTCAGCATCTAAACTAAGCTATGAAGTCATAATGTGTAGGTCCCATGTTTAGTTATTTTTATTAAATCTACTGCTGTCTGAACCATTCTTGCTACATTTCTCTTGGACAATAAACCTGAATCTGATTGGATACTCTCACCTGTATTTACCTACCTGAAAATGAGCTATTTAGTTGAAGGTGGCCACATAGGTCTCTTGTAGCTAATGAAAGAGAGAAATACCTTTATTTGAGGATTTATCCTAATGATCATAGATGGTTTAGGCTCTGGTGACTCTCCTTGGAGGTCCATTCTCCTCTCATGACAAAGAGGAACTTTGATGGTGAATTTATACAGAAATCTTAACTTTCGGATGCCTAAGTGAGATGAATTCCACTTTGTATATGCAGAATCTGCTCTTGCCTTTCTATGAGTAAAGCACAGCTTAACAAAAGACATTTCCTAATATTAGCATCTTCTTGCATCCTGAAAGCAAGTCTTTAATAATGGTTATGATATGACTGACACGCTGAAGCTTTATTTTTGTTTGGCACTACCTGAATTAACTATGATTAAAGAATAATACAATAAATTTTACTTAAAAGGTCCATGGTAGGCCACATCACTTTACCATTTTTTAGTGAAAGATAATCAGGAACACTTCTGATTTTTTAGAAGATATTAGAATTCCATGGCACTGTAAGATTATAAATGACTTGCTAATTCTTTTTGATTAAAAAGAAAGATCAAAAATTTAATGAGGCTACTGAATACAAATGAAGATAATATATGTTGTGATGAACACATGGAAAATATAATGAAAGAATTTGCACTTTACAGTTCTGTTTTGATCTAAGAATTACAGCAGTCTTCAGGATTTCTTTTTTTTTCCTCTCCTTTTCTGTAAAAGGTGACAATATGATTACAAGTTGTATGTTACATAAGCTATACTTGCATATATATATTTGAGTATATATTTTCATGTATAAGCTACTTGAGTTCTTTGTGTACGTGCCTGTGCATACATTATCCATTTGTGCAGTGCTACTCTTAGTTATGGACTTCAGTATGTTAAATACACTGTAGACAAAGTAAAGAAGAATTCTTCCCCAAAAAGCTCAATGTAAAGTCCGGGTAGGCAGGTGCATCATAACTGAAAAAATAACAGGGGGTGATAAACAGCTACAAAATGATCGAAAATAGTAATTTTAAAATGTTATTTTACATCCATATTGTTTGGAGAGATCCTGTAGAGATTGCTTTACAATAAACAATGCATTTCCATTAGAAGCTTGCTTAACTCCTGCTGAAGTCTGTGGGAAGTCCGTGTAAAAAATGGGTATAGCAAAAGTATTTATCAGTATCCTAATACTATGGGGTACATAGGGCTTTTCAAATTTATCTGAAGATTTACTAATATCACAGAGAAAAACTGTTTTCATAGGAAAGCTTTAAAGGAGCCAGGGGGAAAAGAGACAGTAAGCTTCTGCTTAACTCACATAATCTGTTACGCGTGGAAAATATTGACTAGGAGAAAACATGGCATTCAACCAAAAACAAGAATGAGGGGAAAAAAAGAGGAAGAGTTTCAATGTGCGAACAAAATGTACAAGACTCTCAGAAGAATGTTAAAAGACTAAGATAACACTCATTTCCTGAAATATATTTATTGATTACAAAAAAAACAACAGGAAAGACATACTCTGAATTTACTGCCTTAAAGTCCCAATCTGCTATTTCTTACATTTTTATGCCTTTTTTGTTTTTCTGTCAGTACTTTTCTAAACTGAAATTCAATGACTGGTAATACACTTTTATTTCTAGGTCAATTATTTATGAATCACTAGTGAACATGGTTTGAAACACTGTATTTTTGATAATTTATTTTGCATAGTTTTATGCTTAACACATAACGTAACTGTAGTTTATCTGTTTTTTCTTTTTATATCTGCAGTGTAAAACAAATACTGAGTTATTTTACAGTCACAGCTGACTTACGTTGCAATTATCTATTTATGTAAGTTTCATTTAACTACCAATCTGCAAAAATATTTCTATAGCATCCTGTATTCTGTAAACCTAAACCCACTTGCAGATACTGACTTTTTAGCATGTGATATACTTAACAGTAATGCCATTTAATCGGGTATCGTCTTTCATTCGCCCCCCTCCCCTTTAAACCTGAATATTTCTGGGGTTTTGTGCCATTTTGCCATTTTCTATGCCTGTGACATAGGCTTTCCTATTTTGAGAAGTAGTCTATGAAAACATTATTAATCTTCTGAACACCAGTTTTAAAAAATAATTACTGTAAAACGCTGGTCTGTAAGAGGGAGCTATTGAAGTGGGAAAATGATGTCATTACTCAGAGTAATCCACCAAAACACAGATTTTACAGAGGAATGTTCCAAGACCTGGAGCAATGGAGTTGGACAGAGCTCTCCTGTGCAATGATACTAATAAACTCACTCTTGTAGGTTTTATTAGTATTCATTTGCAGTCTCCTGTCTTTTGAGGATTATTGCCTCCTGGTCACAGTGGCACCTAGAGCTGAGTCAATCATAGTTCAATTTATTGGACTGCACTGTGTCTGTTGTGTTGTGTAATAATTAAGAAAAAGAAACAAGTTGGATTGCTTTAATAATCATAGGGTATAACCCTAATTAAGCCAAGTAAAACTCAATTTCTACTACATCTTAGAAGACTAGAAAAGTACTGCAAATAAGTAGTCCCAGATAGAAACAAACACCATATTGAGCCCTTTGAATCTTGTCCAAATTGCCATTTTCATTTTCAAGCTTTCTCTGTCAGACTGGGTTAAATCTCATTCATTCAGATGAACTGGAAGTGATACGACAAAATCCAAAGAAATGCATTTTTCCTCAGGGAATTTATCTTTTTATCGTTTTAGGCAAGAGGCCAAATCACCAGGTCTGGGCAAGCAGCAGATTATGCATGTGGAGGCTAGAGGACAAGAATATCTTGGACAGGTTCCACAAGGCCACTCAGTCAGCATAGGGCTACTCAGATGGGGACAAACTTAAGAGTTAATTGTGAAATGAACTGTAAAGTGAGCTGAATTGCTCTCTAGGCTCCACTGATTGTATTGATTAGACAGCTACGGTAACCATAATGGGATCTTAGACACCCGAAGCTTGGTATCTCAGTGTATAAGGGGGTACCAGCCATTAATGTCAGGTTAATAGCACATTCATTGGAATTCATAAATAAATTTAAAAAAAACCAGACAACTTTTTACATTTTCTGGCATTTCTGTGTCATTACAAAGGTTATAAAACACAGACCTATGTATGTATTCTCTCACAGCTGGTATTCTCTCACAACTCACTCAAATTCAGGCTATTTGGTACTTCAGGTAAAGCAACAAATTTCTTGAGACTTGTTAGTGAAAAATCACAGCGGAAAAAAATACTGTTTATGCTTGTGTGGGTGCAGGTGTGGCGAAAGAGCTATAGATTTATCCTGTCATCAAGTTCTTTTAACTTGGGTGATGTTTAATCATCTTTTCTCAGTCCATCTATGTTCACTGCATATTTGGAGGCATGATTCTTCCCTTCAGAAGCCTTGGTGATATTAAGAGCTTACAAATGTTTGCACAATGTCTGTGTGATGAGAACAGATACACAGACCTGAAAGTTATGTTATCCTAGGACAGTCTAGAAATGTAATGCAGATTGCTGAACTTTATCACTTACTGTTAATACACACTTATGTGTACAAAACCTAAATTTAATAAAAGACATTTTGTGTGAGATTCCCATTCAGCTGGACTAGTAATAATGGTAAAGCAGTAGCTGAAATGGGTGTGTGCTTCTGTTACTTAATCCAAAGATATTTCTTCATGCAATTTAAACAAGTATATTGTCTTGTACAATAATACTGGAATTTTTCGATGTGGTAGTCATTTCAGAATTATAGTTATTATTCATACAGTCTGTGCCATTGATATGTAATTTCTATTTGGTCTCTTCTTGTTTTCCAGGTCTCCCAACAAGGACATGGCTTCAAATGAAAGAGAGATTGTGGTTTGGGTTTGCCAGGAAGAGAAGATTGTATGTGGCCTGACAAAGCGCACAACTTGCGCAGAAGTGATTCAAGCACTGCTTGAGGAACATCAGGCAACATTTGGAGAGAAAAAGGTCCTTTTTGGAAAACCTAGTGATTACTGCATTGTAGAAAAATGGAGAGGCTCAGAGCGAGTACTTCCTCCCTTGACAAAGATTCTGAGACTTTGGAAGGCCTGGGGGGAAGAGCAGTCTAATTTGCATTTTGTGTTGGTAAAGTCAGATGCTTTCCTCTCATTTCCATTGTGGAAGACAGCTGAAGCTAAGGTAGTACAAAATGTAGAAAAACAGTGGGAGCTCAGTCCAGCAAATTACATGAAGATGTTGCCAATAGACAAGCAAAAGAAAATTGTGAGGAAGACTTTCCGGAAACTGGCCAAGCTTAAACAGGACAGTGTTCAGCAAGAGAGAGATAATATGGAGACACTGATTCATCTGATCATTTCTCAAGATCATACCATTCACCAACAAGTCCTTAGAATGAAGGAATTAGATATGGAAATTGAAAAATGTGAAGCAAAATTCCATCTAGATCGTGTGGCCAATGATGGAGAAAACTATGTGCAGGACTCCTATTTAATGATCAATCCAAGTGAGGTGGAGCAGCAAGGGAGTAGACCAGATGATCAAAAAGAGATGCATGACTATTTCAGCAAAAGCGAGGGAATTTTACAGGTTGAAGAGAGACTGAAACATCACAAACAATTGATAGAGAAGCTGTGTGCTGAAATTGAAAGAGAGGTACACGGTATATGCACAGAAAAAAATGGAGATGATGTTTGCACAGAAGGAGCTGCTAATCCTGAACTGGAAAACTCAAATTTGGAAAGTGTAAAATACGAGCTGGAAAAAAGTATGAAAGATGGTCTGAGAATCAACTCATACCTGAGCTGCATTCAGAAAGAACTTACATACAGGGACTCACTGCTTCAAAAGAAGGAAAAAGAATATGAACTTCTTACGGAAGAATTTAATTTACTACACGTTAAAGACAACACTGAAACTAGGCTGCCATCAAATGAAGAGCCATCCAAGGGCAGCGGCATCTCCAGTAACAGCATTGCTGTTCCTGACTTTGTTCACAGAGTGACTAATCTGGACATAAATGATACAGACTCTGACACTGGAATCAGCTCCACACACAGTCAGGACTCTGAAATAACTTCGGGGGACATGGTACTGTTGTCAACATAGTTGAAAACAGTCACACATTTACGAAAAGTCATATTTTGGAGGATATTTATAAGAATTGGTAAACCTTGTTGTCTTGAAAGTTCAGCCCTTCAAGATGTTAAAACTGTGGCACTGCTTTAGCAAAGTAAACAGCATCTATTTATGTGCTTAATAGTATACTTGTGCTTAAATGCATGGGCAGTCTCATGGGTTAACTGCTAATAGGTGCAAGGTTGTTGCCTTTGCTAAACCAGGACAGACTGTTTAAACCTTGGAGTGTTGGTACTCAGTGAAAAAGAAGCATTCTGACTGGCTTGGACCAAAAGTCTGGACATTTGATATCCCCTAATCTTTGGGTCCACTTCTGCATCTCTCTAACTTTTTAGAAATGTGAATTAGAGATTAGACCCAACTAGACAGAGAGCTTGATTTTCTGCTCCATTACATTAGCTTTATTCAGCTGGAGTTTCCCCGCCATGAAGCTGCTGTAAAGGAATGTATAATCGAGCATGTAATCTCTTAAAAAATAGTTTTTATGATATTATAGGACAAAAAAAATGCAGTTGCATTTACGCTGTATATTTAAATTTAGTTTTGAGTTATCAGGGTGATATTTTCAAAAACACCTAAGTCCCGTTTAAAAAATTACCTTACACACATAGGGTTTTAATTTCCATTCTCTTTCAGCAGTGTTTAACTGCTTCTAAGATCCTTAAAACCCCTACTTATCTGCTGTTACCCTGTAGTTGCCCCAGTGATGCTTAAGTCCACATAGTCCCTGCCAGTGGGCATGTCAGAACTGCCTACGTCCTGCTTGTGCGAGACGCTCAAATCCCAAGCTCCCGCCTAACCCCAGGGGCATTTTCAGTAAGGCTTTCTCCTGCCTATCTCACCAGTCAGATCCAGTGTCTTAGGCCTCCTCAGATCATGACTACCAAATAAAGCATAACAGAAGGGACAGGCAGGAGCCAGACATTTTTGGCTCTGGCTAGACACTGTTTCCCAATAGCCAGGTAGTTACCATTTTCACATAGCAGGTAAGTTGTCAAATCCCGTCTCACGCTGTTTTGGAGCAAGGATATGGACCCGTAAATCCTACTTCCTCGGTGAGGACTTTGGGATACAGCTAAAGCTGATCCACTTTCTATAGGTAATTAAATATTGGGCCCCAGGAAAAAAAACGAAGGAATGCAAAACATGAGAATTTTCCAACTGGGTGGTTAAGTCAAATGATTTCACTTAGGATGTGGTAGTTGATATCAAATCCTTCTCCAGCATATTGCTGTGAATCCAAAGCGACGGTGTATAACGGAGGTGCTCTCCTCAGTTACTGAACAAGACTTCTAACTCCAAGCTAGAGACTCTGCTAATAGAGAGCACATGCGTAATTTCTGTGTTGCCATGTTTATATTTTTGTAGATCAATCTGTTTAATGCTTTTGATTAAATGAATTGAATGGAGAAATAGGTAGTGTTTCTAAACAAAATTTAGCTCTAGGAAAATTCAAACAGATCCTGGAATTGAAAGCCTACAAAGTAAATGAACAGACAGTACCTAGAAGGTATAAATGTAAAATACTTTCAGATACACTGCTTTCCCTTTCTGTATTTTTCTACTCTTAAATGTCTGTCAACCATCTGTTTTCTAAAATGGCCAAAGTGCTAGGACTGCTGATTAGCACATATTTGATGCAGAAAAAAAAAAAGGAAAAAAAAAGCGCCTTCTCTAGAAAGGCAATTTTTGTGGTTGTGGTTTTTTTTTTTTTTTTTTTTTTAATCCTGGATATTATAAATAGTTTCTGTTCCAGGAAAGTGTGTTAGTTGCCTTAATATATTTTGTGTTGTGTTTTTGTCATACAATGTTATTTGAATACTTCAATAATAATGTCATATTTAGACTCATCAGCTCCTGATGGAAACACAAGTATGTATCAAATATCTTATCTTTGTAATAATTTATTAACGCAACTCAGCATCTTTTGAACTCTGTGGTATCACTCTGACAAGTATTTAACACAGAGCTCTGAATGCTGAGAGTAGGCTAATGTATTCTATGAGTTCTTGTGAATTTAGCTAACAGTTATTTGTAATGAGTTGGGGTTTTTATATAAATACTTAGGGGATAAAGAATTCAAACAGAATAATATTCACAGCTGTGCAGGCTAGTACAAGACCTGTGGGGGAACTAATTTCCACTCATACTCTATCAGATTTGTTTCACTCATAGGAATTTGTACTGGTTCTCAGAACTGATCTTTGTCCACACTATGTGGTTGATTGTACATCCCCTGCAACGTATAGATCTTAAGAGTATTAATGTGTTTTAAGAAGAAAATAGGAAAAATAGGCTGGGAGAGAGTATTTCTTAAAAAATAAAATAATCTTAAAAAATCCAGTGTTTTGAAGCTTATATTTGAAGCTTATACTTTGATATCTCAAACTTATTTCTTTCAGAATTTAGATGAATGTACAAGATTATTAAAAACTGTGTGTGCTCTTTGCTGTTCATCTGCCTCTACATTTTTCATATACTTGTTCAACCTGGTTTTAGGATGCTAAAAGTATACTTTATGGACCCTTGTGCTCCTTACTTAACCATTCTTCCTTTGTCTCAATTATCTATGGTTTTTTGTTTTTTTTTTTTTTAATTCCCATAAGGAAATGCACAATCAAACACTTTGGCTCATTTCCTGTCATTCTCTTAAGCCAATTCCCTTTCCATCTTCACATTTTTGTTTTGTTTTATAAAATTTTCCTGGACTATGTTATACTTACTGGCAAAGAGGAAGATCAAAAAAGTCCTGCATAGGAGGAGAGAGAATTCTACCCAGGGAGTGGAAATGTGAAAGTGAAATGAAAGGAAATTCGGTCCATTACACTCATCTGTAAAGGGGTTTTTGATAGAAAGACAGCTATTTCTTCAGAGTGAGAGGAATATCACGGTGAGTAGGTGCCAGACTCAGCCTGTATCATGACTGTTTTGGGGTAGGATAGGTTAGTCCCCAGTATGAATCCAGAGAGAGATCTCCAGTGACTGTCATCTGGGCTAACAGTACTGAAATGAATGGGCTTGCCTCATACAAAGTTCTTTGGATCCTACATACTTAAATAGTTTCACATATATATTTATAACAAATATAACCCCAGCAATTTCCAGGGAACGCAGTGTATACCCCAATCTCATGTTTCTGCCTGACTTTATTACATACTTTTACAAATTTGATGAAAGCAGATGAGTCAATTTAATTACCTGCTTCAATTCCTTGATGACTCTTTCAAATATAAAACATAATTATCATTTGGTTATATATAAATTTACAGTATTTATCATCCATTTATGTTCTTAAAAATTACCATGTAATTACAGAATTATTGCTTTCTTTTATTCCCTGCAAAAATGAGCAGTCCCTGAGAACTTTTATCACTTCAGATTTATAGATTATGTATTTGTCTTCAGATTGTGCATTCGGGCATTGTTCTGCTGGCTGTCTTGTGCTCCATACATACATACATATATATTGCTAACACAGGGTATTTGATTATAGGATACTGACAGATTGAAATTCACAGACATGAGAGCTTCAACTTGCAGCCTAAAGCCTAAGATTAATAGGCTTTACATTTCTCTACATGCCCAGAATAATCATTTCTTAGTTTCTGCATATTGCTAACTGTGTAAAGACATAAACAGAGGTAATGTAACAAATCATTATGACAAAATTGTATCATTTCTATTTTTGATTGCCTAACTGTGTTCATCACTTTGGATGAAGATTTAGATTGATGCACCTAATTCAGCAAAGTATTGATATATCTAACTTCAAGCAAATTGTAATTTGAATGATTTTGTGTGTGATTATATTGGGTTTGCATAGCAAGATTTTGGTAGTGGGGGGGGTACAGGGGTGGCTTCTGAGATAAGCCACTAGAAGCTTCCCCACCTCAGACAGAGCCCATGCCAGCTGGCTCCAGGACAGACCCGCTGCTGGCCAAGGTTGAGCCCATCAGTGATGGTGGTAGCTCCTCTTTGATAACATATTTAAGAAGGGAAAAACTGCTGGGCAACAGCAGCCTGAGACTGGAGTGAGGACATGGGAGAGGAACAACCCTGCAGCCCCCCAGGTCAGTGCAGAAGGAGGGGAGGAGATGCTCCAGGTACCGGAGCAGAGATTCCCCTGCAGCCCGTGGTGATGAAGACCATGGTGAGGCAGGCTGTCCCCCTGTAGCCCAGGGAGGTCCACGGTGGAGCAGATCTCCACCTGCAGCCTGGGGAGGACCCCACACCAAAGCAGGGGACGAGTGCGGAGTCCTCCTCCCCCTGAGGAGGATGGAGCGGCAGAGACAACGTGTGATGAGCTGACCCCAACCCCCATTCCCCGTCCCCCTGCACCGCTCAAGGGCAAGAGGGAGAGAAAATTGGGAGTAAAGTTGAGCCCAGGGAGGGAGGGGTGCGGGGAAGGTGTTTTAAGATTTAGTTTTTATTTCTCACTATCCTACTCTGATTTGATTTGTAATTAACTAAGCTAATTTCCCCAAGTCAAGTCTGTTTTGCCCATGATGGTAACTGGTGAGTGATCTCTCCTTGTCCTTATCTCAACCCACGAGCTTTTCATTATAGTTTCTCTCCCCTGTCCATCCAAGGAGGGGGAGTGATAGAGTGGCTTGGTGGGCACCTGGTGTCCAGCCAGGGTCAACCCACCACAGTGATGCATATTATATTTTCTTTAATAATATGTGAGCATTCCTTGCTAAATTTTTACTATCCTTGTGACTGTTCGTTCTGTTAAAAACAAACAAACAAACAAACACTTATTATTTTCCATTTTCATCTCATGAAACACTGGTTTTGTAATAAAGTATCTTTGGTAATAATAAACATTTTCATTAGCAGTGGAAGTAGAACGTGCACTTAAGAACAGAAGTCTCTAATCCAAAGGGCTTTTTTCTAAACCTACCTTAGACCATCTCTTCCTGTCCCTCCAGTTTAGTTAGCTTGACCATAAATGACTGTTTTCTTCCAAC